CCGGATGGAGAGAGGTGCTCGGTGTGGGAGGCGGGGAGCCCCCCGCGGAAAGAGGCTGCTGGTCCTGGGGCATGCAGCGCCGAGCTGCGGTGCAGGATCAGGCCCTGGGGGTCTGTTCCTACTTTGAAATTGGGTTTCGTGAGGATGCTCTTGCCTTCAGCAGTTGTTGTTGGTTGCTTGACTCCTAGGCTGGACCTTAGTGCTCAGGGTCGCCCCGGTGCTGCCCAAACCAGTGGATTTCTGTAGCGATTCCCGTCCAGCCCCTCCCTGGCCAGGGAGGCGATCCTGGTATGAAGCAGTGCTCGTGGTGTCGTGGCGGGAAAAGATGACCTGGGTTGTGGGATGAAGGCTTGGATTGGATTCACAGCCCCCCAAGAGCTGCTGATGTTCGCCAGCAGCACGAGCGCTCGTGCGATGCTTCCCCCGTGCTCCCCTTTTCCCTTCGCTTTCTCTGGTGGGTTTTGTCCATACCTGGCAGCTCTTCAAGGCTGCAGCGGACGGTTCGATCGCGGCCTCTGGTTGCACATGCTGTGGTTTAGGTTTTGTGAAACTTCAGGCAGCTGAGCTCTAGAAGGGAAATGGAAGAAACCCGTTTTGCAGCGTGCTCGACAGCGCTGACCCGGCTCTCGTTAGCGAGCCCCGACAGAATTGCCGTTGAGGTGCCTTTCTGTCTGCTCTGTCCATTACTGCTGCTTTGTTGCTGGCAGTCTCCAAATTAAAATGCAAACTGAGATGTACCCGAAATGTTTGGAGACCCTTAAACTCTCGGGTGGAAATGAATTTGGTTTTCCATCTTCATTACGTGGGGTTTTGCTGATGAATGGTCGGGGTTACTTGCAGCTGGGGCCGTAGCGGGGAGCTGGGGCTGGCTGGGCCCGGGTTTATTCCCAGCTGACGGGGGTGCAGTCTGGCTGATCTGGGTCTGGGGGCTGCTGGTGGGACCCAGTTGTGAACCTGGTGGGACCCAGTTGTGACCCCGAGCAGCTGGACTGGGCTGTACTGGGGCGTGGGACTGCCGGGCACCGTGGGAATAGAAACCAGGGAGATTTGCTTGTGTCCTGGAGCTGCGTATTGGGTGCTATGAGTCATAAAGATGACTACACCCACTTCAGCGTTGAGAAGGGCCTTTTTTTATGGTGTGGAGTATTTAGGGTTGCACTTGAGTTGTTGTTTTTTAGTGTTTTGAGTCGGGGGTTGCCAGCGCCGCTGGCTCTGAGAGGAACTCTGATCCAAGTCCTGCCTGCTAACCTCTTCCCTTAACCCATCCCTTCATGCTGGGGCAGTATTGACCAAAACCATGCTTTTTGTTTTTTCTTTTTTCTTTCTTTCCCCTCAAGAAGAGGAGGGGAGGCTCATTGCCTCTGCGGAGGGTTTGTGGAGCTGCCTGACCTTTTTTCCGTGGGATGCCCAGTGGCATCGCGGCTTCTGGCAGCACAGCTCACCCTGCAGCCTTTGAACCCCGTCTCAGGCACCTGCCCGGCTGTTTGTGCTTTTTTTGATAAATGCTGGGTTCTGGTCGCACAGAGCAACGTGTGGAGCCTTTGTGAGGAGCCCCAGCCCGGTGTTTGCTCTGGCACAGTGCTGGGAGGTTTGGAGCCTCTGGGGAGCGTCAAGCCCTCGGTGTCGTTCCATGTGACGAAACACCAGCCGGTTGTTTGACATGCAGCTGGGTGCTCTCTGATAACCAAGTGCTTTCTAAGGGAGCTCTCTTCCTACCCGATCCCGTCTCATGTTTTTAACATAAATCCGCTTATCCGCCTCGGAAAAGCCGGGGACTTGCTGCTTTGTTGCTGCAGAGCCTTTGTCTCTGTCCCCAGAGGCGTCGGGCTTCGAGCAGAGGCAACGAAGCCAAGGGAGCGACTGGTGCACGGAGCTTGGGCTGGGGATGTGCCGTGTATCCCCTTCCTCTCCTTGCTCCCCACCTTCTTTCTCTTACCACTGATCTCTGATCTCTCATCGCTGTCTCTCTATTAATAAGTGTGAAAAGGGAGCCTCTGGGCGCTGTCAAAGCACAGCTCGGTGCTGTCTCTTATTGTCTCTGTGTTAGCTCCTGGACAGGTTAGGAATGGGATTTTATTTTTTGATAAGATAGTAAAATTCATTCTATTCCTGTTTCCTGTTGCGGTGCTTTCTGCTGTTGGTTGAAGCGTTATGGTCTTTGTTGCCTGCAGCTTCACAGAGCCTGTTCCAGGCTGTTTACTGGGTTAAAGCAAGTAGGATAAGCCGCCACCGACCTTCCCAGACAAGCAGCACCTCTGGATTGGGCACAGACCATCTCCCCAAAGCCAGACCATCAGCTTCTGTCAACGCCGTTTCTTTATTAATTTATTCTGCTTCAGTGGTCAGGCGGGGAGGAGCAGATTCTTTCTTAAAAGCGTCGCTTACTCTTCGTTTCTTTTAAAAACTGGATTCAGTTCAGTTAGCGACACGTGCAGGCGGCTGGGGCAGTACGAGGGCGATAGCGTCGCTACCGGGGCGATGGCCGCGTCACCAGCTGCTGGCAGGAGAAGGGCACGTTTCCACACAGATTAATTGAGGATTGCTGCAGCTTTGGGGTAACAAAAGCAGGATCTGCCCGTTTTAAGGCAGGTGCTGTGTGGCCCAGGGTCCTTCTCTGCTCTCTGTAAAGTTCCCTGTTTTCTCTCGACCACTTTTACACGTGGAGCCGTGACAATCTAATGACTTTTCCGTTGTAGCTCCGTGTGGTGGGGGCTGCTGTGTCCCAGGATAGTTTTCCTCCAAGATCTTCCTGTCCAGGTCCCTTGTTTCATCTCACTTTTTGAAATAATCAGCCCCTGTGGTTATTTCAGTTAACGCTAATTACTGGCGTGAACTAATTAATGTGGGCTGACTTTTCTCTTTCTAATGCTTTTTTAACCCACTGACACATTCCAATTAAGGGACTCACACAGGGACCGGACTGAAATGACTCAGAGCAATCACAGTTGGAGTAAATCGTGTGCTTTGCTGAAGGTCACCAATATTTCTTTCCAATTGCTGGCATTGCGTATTTGTGCCTGCCAGCGGGGAGGTGACCTGACCTTACAAGAAGTGTCTGAAATATCTTCAAGTTTGCCTCCGTATCGGCGGGCACCACATGGATAAGCATTGCGTGGCACAGAAAATAGCCGTGGGAGGCTTCTCCTCGGGACTGCAGAGCTTAGAGCAAGTGGTCTTGACCTCGTGAGGAACTTGCATCTTTGCACCTGTAGCTGTGCAGCGGTAACAGAGGCCGTACGCTGGGTGCTGCCCTCGTGCTCGTACGAGCAATTTCTTTTCCTCTCTGCACTTAAAGGGTTGAGGCTTTACTTCTGCACCTTCAGATTCCCCTCTGTGCTTCTCCTTGGGTTGGAGTTTTCCAGAAAGTGATGCTGCTTGGTTTGCAGAGGAGAAAACCCCTTTAGCTTTAGCAGGACCAGACTCTCTTTGGGATGTAGGCGGAAGGGCCAGCAGCGGGGCGAGCCTGCGAGGTCCCGTTCTCAGTCTCTTCCTGCCTCATCCAAGTCGGGTCATGATGCTGAAGTTCCTGTCTTTCCTCGGTGTCTTTTCTTCCAGGTGTTGGTGGGAAACGTTTGTATTTCTAGCTGCTCTTCCAGCTGCTGCTCATGACTGAAGGTGCGGAGCTGCTTGTGTCTCCCGGAGGCGGCTGGGGTGGGGTTGGGTCTCCTCCGGGTGGGATTTAAACGCAGACGCCTCGTCAGTGTGTCTCGTGGTTGCTGGATTAACAGAGGTGAAAGCACCTTGACTGAACTGGGGTAGAGAGCCGATAGCAAATGTGTGATTAGCATTAGCAGCACCGGTCAGACTGTGTTGTGCAAATGATGGGAGAAGAGACGATTTAGTTATTCATCTTTAACCTTTATTTTTGTTTAACGTGACCTTACCTGGCCAGGCTCTCGTTACCGTTCTCTGACTGTTCAGGGTATGTTCATTTAGGCTGCTGCCAGCGATCTGAAAGCCAACGCCGTGTTCCCGGCCGGGTGCAGCCCGCACATCCCTCCTTGCGGATTTCCAGGCTTCCCAGCCCTGCGAGGAGATGGGGACTCTAAGTCCTGGTCCCCTTGTTTTGGGCAGAGCAGGTCACACCGGGTCATACAGCAGTCGCTGCAAGACACGTTCCCTTCTCTCAGCTGTGCCTCTAACCCCGTGTTTCCCACCCTTTTTATAGCTGTCTCCTGGTGGGTTTGAGCAACCTGGGGACACTCAGAGATATAGATTTACCCCTACATGTCTGGTTCCCGGGGGAAAGGCAGAAACAATGTCTGCCTGGTTGGTTGGTTGGTGTATTTTTTTGGTGGTGCAGATAAAGACTCTGACACATCCTTGAGTTGTAGCTGGTTTTTTTGTGAGCTGTGTCCAGGTTGGCAGGGTGGTCCTTTTTGCCGTGGTGTGTCTGCTTGGGTTCCCTGCAGACTTTACACGTAGCTGGATGGTTTTGGCTGTCCCTCTCTGCTTCCTGGAGGTTATAAATGGTGTAGGAATATGTTCCAAGTGAGTCTGAAGTTTCATCAGGCTGTCTGGACAAGTCCCCCTGAGCTAACTCTGTGGCGTCTCATTTGATCCTCAGATGTGTTCAATTTTGAATGAACTGCTTCCCTTGCAAGCTCAATCTCCATGGAAGATGCAAATTAAACTTCGGCAGAGGTCAGCCCAGCAGCTCGGGAACGTCCCTCCTTGTCTGCTGCTCTCCTCCAGGTTGACTTTGGGGGGGAGTTGCGTTCACGAAATTGCATTTCTTGCTGTTAATGCACCTAAATTTTGGCTTTCCCTCTTCAGCCCCCTGCTTCTTGACCCGCAGTGGCTCTTAACCACGTTCTCGATGTTTCCACTGGAAATGCACGTTTAAATCTAAACAATTGGAGAGAAAGGGGAGCCCAAAAGACGCGTCTCCGTGCAGCTGCGATGCCAGAGCGATCCCCGAGGATGGGGCTGGGAAAAGGTTGAGGGGGAAACGTTGGCGGGGAAAAAACCCACCCTTAAATTTCTCTCTTGCCTCGCAGGGTTTCAGCGGGCCTCCCCACGCGGCGTTTGCCTTGAGCTGCGAGCAGCGAGCGGTGAAAGAAAAATACGAGCACGAACCTGCGCATCAGCTGGACTACGAGAGCGAGTTGTCCATCCGGATAGGTAGAGCTGGGCTCCATCCAGGCAAGCATCCTGTCATATACCACCTGCCGAGTGCACGGGGAAAATACCCCTCCTAAACTGGCACCCAGGCTGTCACGTATGTGATTGAAATTAGATTGGTTTTGACACGTGCATGCGGAGTGCACCCTCTCTCCCCTCTCCGGATCTGTCTTTCTGGCTCTGAACTCCACTCGTGACTTGTGTTCCTGCCGTAGTTCTCCAAACCACTTGCACGCCTGTCGGTACCGATGAATTATTGATAATTGGATATCTCATTCACCGGGGAAATGAAATCATCAGCTTAGCTCGAGAGAAGTTTATTTTGGGCGCGGGTGCAGCGAACCCTGCCCTTGCCAAGGGATGCCACCGCGTCGAAAGTGCCCCGTGACACCGACCCTCGGTGGCCCTCCCTAATTAGAGACTAGTGCTGTCACTCCTTATTTTGGAGGTTAATTGAATTGTAGCTGCCAAAGCGTGGAGTAAAATGTCTTGTTGGCGGCTATTTCCTCCTCAAATTGATTTTTTTTAAAGGAACTTCTTAGTCCAGGTGGTGGAACCTCCTTGTGCCTGGCTGTGTGGGGATGCATCCCTCAAAGCAACATAATTTTTCTGCTCCTCTGCTTAACAGCAGCATTTTGGTAGACAGAGAAAATGTATTTTAGTGTATTAATCTTATTGCTCCTCTGCTTTTTTCTTGGTTGGAGAGAAACTGAAATAGCGGTTTACAGTATCTTGAGTACAACTGGGAGCAGATTGAGTTGAAGAAATGATCCTTCTTTTTGCAAAGAATAATATGATCCTCTTAAATCAGACTCTGTTATTTAACTGCATGGCTTAATTGCATGTTTCATCAAGTGTTTCAGATCCACAGGGTTTTTCAGGACTTGAAATACCAGCCTGGATTTTCCTGAGTGGGTGGAAGAAAATTTTGTATGAGACTCAGTGGGCTTTGGGTCCTTGAAGTCAAGGCTTTTGTTTTTTTATCTTTTGGGGCAAGTGCAAGCTTGAAGGTTGCCTTAGCCCTGCAGCCTGGGAGGCTGTTGCAAGGTTTTCAATATTGTACAAGGTGGAAACTTGACATCCCTGGTGCAGTTTACTTTTATTCTTCGAGGGAAAAAAAAAAGTAGGCAGCCCTGCAGTTTTCAGAAATGTAAGCTGCTGGGGTTTTATGTTTTCATCTTCACTTAGTCACAAACAGCAACAGTGCAAATGGTTTGGAGAATAGGAAATTTCCACTAGACTTCGTTGGTTTTCTGCTCTCTGGGGAAATGGTATTAAGGATCTACGATACATTAATTCTTTTATTGTCTCCTGCTATTCTTTCTTTCTTTCTTTACTTTTGCTTACTGAAATGAACTCCGTATTTTCACAAGATACCTCAAGCCCTCCAAGAAAGCAGCTTTCCTCAGCTCTGGGTGCTGCTTGGCTGCGCTCTGGGGACATTCCAAGTCTAATGGGTACTAAGTGGAATATTTCAGACTTAATCACTGCTGAATCATTGACTCTCCCTTCATATTTACGTGTTTTAAAATTGCTAAATCTGTGAAAACAACACACACACACACACAAAAAAAAATCCCAAAGCGCACAGCTGCCTTGTTTTGCAGTTTTCTTTGCTGCCTGGGGATGGTGGCGAGGGGCTGAGGAACGTGTCGACGTGCAGCTCTCCAAGCCCTGTGCGTTAGAGCTCTTTCCTCTTTTAGACGTCAACGTGTATTTAACGTGGCAGTTGAGGAGCAGAAGCAACCGAGTGGTCGCGCCCGGGTGGTGGGATCCTTGTAGCGAGGAGATATTTTTATTGTATTTTATTTTTTGTAGACCTTGGCAAGGGAGCTGGAGGAGCAGGTTGGTACAGGAGCCGCTGGCAGGCGGCCGCCCCGCGGGGGGGGGG